ACGACAGGTCTGGACGACTCATAAATTTTGTTCGTATCTGAAGAAAATCTTAGAATACGAAAACATTGGTGAATTCCTACAAAATCTCCTAAATCACTCGTACGCACAACTTAAGAACAAATCTGTGCGTATGAACGGTTCTTGCATGAGGCCCATTGTCCCCTGCTTGTACATTCTTGTTGTACTTTCAGTATAAAACCATTAGGTGGTACTGGGAATGTAGAAATGGTGTCTGTAATGTTGATGTATGTGCACATGTCTGAGACAAAGCTTTGCTCACAGGTGCTGCGGAACATGACCGGAGGAGTGGAGAGAGTTTCTTTAAAAACAGGACCTGGTGTGGTTGGGGTGTCAGCCATCGTGGAATACTCGTCCCACCATGCTGCATCGATGGCAAAGAAGGTTCTGTTGGAAGGTAGGAGAGCTCTGGGTTCAGCGGTCTACAACTTGTGTTTTTGCAGATACTGAAGTTTTGGTGTAGTGGTAGATGAGACATACTCGGGTGTACTGTGTGCAGTCCGTGAGCTGCGCGGACTCCGCACATATTGTCTGCGGATGTTTGAGACTTCATACTCGAGCATACTGACCTCCTGACAAATTTCATAATTTTTCATAATTTCTGTCATGATGTCAAGGACAAAGAGGAAGCAATAGTTTGCATTTAAGCTTAAAAACATCAAATGAAAATAACTTACCCAGGGTCTGGGCTATTTCCCGTCACGAATTTGTTGCTCACTGAAAGTCCTTATATTGATTTACCATATATTATCTGTTTTCAAATCTCCTCCGTGAGACGCTCTTTCTCCATTTCATCCAAAAATGGTACAGATTCTCAATCTGCTTGGTGACGGAGTAAACACAGTTGAACCTGCATTGATGTTGTGTTTTTGAAACTTTGGATTTCAAAATCAAGTCCATGTGTATTGTATGTATTCATATGTTGTGCACTGTAGGGCTGAACGATTTTGGAAAATAATCTAATTGCAATTTTTTATCTATAAATTGCCATTTTTAACCTCTTCTAAAGTATTTTTAAACAAAAAAGCAATAAATCAATCTGGTTTAAACAAAGTAAGATTTATTTAAAGCACAGATTACAATAAAGCAAACAAATCTGTGGCTTTACCTTTTCACCATTTCTATTTTTTCTTGTTTCATTAAACATGAAATTAAGCATGTTAAGTGAACTTCCTAAACACTGTCTGAACAGGACAGTCTATAAATAAATATAAAAAATATATAAATATAAAAAAATAAAGCCTACTGCTTTCCAGCTAATAACATCACGAAAAATTAAAGGGCAAAAAACAAAGAGAGAATAAACATCTGCTTTAACCAACTCGTTATTTTCTAGGAAAATCAAACGGAAGCTGCTAGATTACATCATCACCTACTATGTTTGTCAATAATTGTGATCTGAGCTACAGGAGAGATGTTAAAGAGAAAACAAGTGAAGAAAAAACACTAAATATGTTTAAAAATGCAATTAAACTTAATGAAATAAAAATATTTTTAT